GCATCAAGTTTTACCACAAATCCCAGGTATGAGGACGGTAGAACTTCCACGTCCCCCATACTTACATAAGATGGAGAATATCAATAAGTTTCAATGGCTTTTGAAAGGGCTGTATTCCATAATATTTATTCACATTTGTAAAATTAACTATTGCAGGCTTAATTCCACCTACGGATACGTTATTCCTGTATTTGTTTACCGTTTTACTTTATTTGTTTATCTATATATATATATTTTTGTATATAAATTCAACATATCAAATTTAGTAGATTGTAATTATCTTCAGGCATTTAGTTAAGTAAGGCTTGAAAATGTCAGCAAAAAACTAAACTATATTTGATGTGTTGATTTTGTATGTGTATACATATTTAAAAGTTTATTGTCACAAAGTTTTCGTAAGATTGAACTAAATGTATATACATTTTGTTCATCCATAATTAAACCTCCTTTCACTAATGTTTCTGTGTAAGTTGGAGAGAGTGACTTTTGTATTGTATTATAACACTACCATGTCTGTTGTAGAGCTATTTACTCTGTGTAGTGGGAGGCCAGCCAGAAATAACAGTACAATGTTCAATCCATTTATTGATCCACCCTAAATAGGCCTTCCACCCATGCATTTTAGAAAGCCTGTAATTTTTCTTGAAGAAATCACACACAAAGAGACGGGGAGGCTTTTTATAAAATGTAACATTAACGGATCTATCAAACCATACAAGTACAATGATCCAGGTTTTTCTTCGAGTAGCATATCTTTTTAAAAATAAGATTTCCCCCTGTTTAGCAGCCAAATACAGATTTATTTACACATACTCTATTGGCAATGGCAGCTGAAGTAACGTGTTTACATGCCAAAAACCTCCATCTGCTTTTTGAAAAGAGAGGGAAATCGAATCAATCACGCTCACCTCTGTTTGTAGCCTAACTGATTCTCTAACCCGACGAGGCAGTCAGCCCTTTTCTCTCTCTATACCACACTGATTCTATCAATTTGCTGACTAAGGCTGGCAAGGTTTTCAGTGAACATTGCTGATTTGCCAAAATAAAATTGAAATTTGTGTAATTTGATAAAGTTGTGCAGTGAAGTGAACGTTGACACACACTAGAAAGAACCGCCGGCCATATTTGAGTCTAATACATCACAGCCGGGCTTGTATCCGACACCAAATGTATGGTATCAGCAGTGTGCCGTCTAGGCTAGTCCTACGAAACACGCTTAAACTGTGGACAGACACTATTTGACAAAATATTGGATTCCCGACAACAGACAGTATAGGCTTGTCATCTGTATAACAAACCGCAGCACTTAAAACATTTCAGGGCGAGTGGAATGTGGCAGGATATTGTGTCTAGGGGTGAAAAAGGTGTTGGAGAAAACAAAATGTTCAATTTGGTAGTAGCAGAGTCTGATCCAGCCACTACAAAGCATCATATTGTCTGTTTACGTGTTTCTTCCAATGTTAGGAATAACTACTGAGCTTCCGTATGCGTCTACAGGATGAGAGCGCTTCAGAAACAAATTTATTTGTTCAGGTTCAGAATTTGTCTACAGATCTTTAGAGTATATTTATAAAGCTTTGAAATTGGCCTTTACAGCTAGGGTATTGGCCTTTACAGTTTAGGAAGTGGCCTTAACAGCCTAGGTATTGGCCTTTACAGCTTAGAAATTGGCCTTTACAGCTAAGGAATTGGCCTTTACAGCCTAGGTATTGGCCTTTACAGCTTAGAAATTGGCCTTTACAGCTAGGGTATTGGCCTTTACAGCTTAGAAATTGGCCTTTACAGCTAGGGTATTGGCCTTTACAGTTTAGGAAGTGGCCTTAACAGCCTAGGTATTGGCCTTTACAGCTTAGAAATTGGCCTTTACAGCTAAGAAATTGTCCTTTACAGCCTAGGTATTGGCCTTTACAGCTTAGAAATTGGCCTTTACAGTTTAGGTATTGGCCTTGATAGTTTAGGAAGTGGCCTTTACAGCCTAGGTATTGGCCTTTACAGCTTAGAAATTGGCCTTTACAGCTAGGGTATTAGCCTTTACAGTTTAGGAGGCGGCCTTTACAGCTAAAATAATTGGCCTTTACAGTTTAGGAGGTCCCCTTTACAGCTAAGAAATTGGCCTGTACAGCTAAGAAATTGGCCTGTACAGCTAAGAAATTGTCCTTTACAGTTTAGGTATTGACCTTTATGGCTAAGGAATTGGCCGTTCCAGTTTAGGAAGTGGCCTTAGCAGCCTAGGTATTGGCATTTACAGCCTAAGTATTGACCTTTACAGTTTAGGAGGTGGCCGTTACAGCTAAGAAATTGGCCTTTACAGCTAAGAAATTGGCCTTTACAGCTAAGGAATTGGCCGTTACAGTTTAGGAAGTGGCCTTTACAGCCTAGGTATTGGCCTTTACAGTTTAAAAATTGGCCTTTACAGTTTAGGAAGTGGCCTTTATAGTTTAGAAACTGGCCTTTTAAAGCTTAGAAATTGGCCTTTACAGCTAAAATAATTGGCCTTTACAGTTTAGGAAGTGGCCTTGATAGTTTAGGAATTGGTCTTTACAGCCTAGGTATTGGTCTTTATAGTTTAGGTATTGGCCTTTTTAGCTAAGGAATTGACCTTAACAGCTAAGGAATTGGCCTTTAAAGCTTAGAAATTGGCCTTTACACCTAAGAAATTGGTCTTTACAGCTTAGAAATTGGCCTTTACAGCTAAGAAATTGGCCTTTAAAGCTTAGAAATTGGCCTTTACAGCTAAGGAATTGGCATTTACAGCCTAAGTATTGACCTTTACAGTTTAGGAATCGGCATCTACAGCCTAGGAATTGGCCTTTACAGTTTAAGTATTGGCCTCTACAGCCTAGGTATTGGCCTTTACAGTTTAGGAATTGGCCTTTATAGCTAAGGAATTGGCCTTTACAGTTTAGGTGTTGGCCTTTATAGCTAAGGACTTGGCCTTTACAGTTTAGGTATTGACCTTTATGGCTAAGGAATTGGCCTTTACAGTTTAGGTATTGGCCTTTATAGCTAAGGAATTGGCCTTTACAGTTTAGGTAATGACCTTTATAGCGAAGGAATTGGCCTTTACAGTTTAGGTATTGACCTTTATAGCTAAGGCATTGGTCTTTACAGTTTAGGTATTGACCTTTATAGCTAAGGAATTGGCCTTTACAGTTTAGGTGTTGGCCTTTATAGCTAAGGACTTGGCCTTTAGAGTTTAGGTATTGACCTTTATGGCTAAGGAATTGGCCTTTACAGTTTAGGTGTTGGCCTTTATAGCTAAGGACTTGGCCTTTAGAGTTTAGGTATTGACCTTTATGGCTAAGGAATTGGCCTTTACAGTTTAGGTGTTGGCCTTTATAGCTAAGGACTTGGCCTTTAGAGTTTAGGTATTGACCTTTATAGCTAAGGAGTTGGCCTTTACAGTTTAGGTATTGACCTTTATTGCTAAGGAATTGGCCTTTACAGTTTAGGTCTTGACCTTTATAGCTAAGGAATTGGCCTTTGCAGTTTAGGTATTGACCTTTATAGCTAAGGTATTGGCCTTTACAGTTTAGGTATTGACCTTTATGGCTAAGGAATTGGCCTTTACAGTTTAGGTCTTGACCTTTATAGCTAAGGAATTGGCCTTTACAGTTTAGGTATCGACCTTTATAGCTAAGGAATTGGTCTTTACAGTTTAGGTATTGGCCTTCACCGGTTAGGTATTGGCCTTTATAGCTAAGGAATTGGCATTTACAGTTTAGGTATTGACCTTTATAGCTAAGGACTTGGCCTTTACAGTTTAGGTATTGACCTTTTTAGCTAAGGAATTGGCCTTTACAGTTTAGGTGTTGGCCTTTATAGCTAAGGACTTGGCCTTTACAGTTTAGGTATTGGCCTTTATAGCTGAGGAATTGGCCTTTACAGTTTAGGTTTTGACCTTTATAGCTAAGGAATTGGCCTTTGCAGTTTAGGTATTGACCTTTATAGCTAAGGAATATGCCTTTACAGTTTAGGTATTGACCTTTATGGCTAAGGAATTGGCCTTTACAGTTTAGGTGTTGGCCTTTATAGCTAAGGACTTGGCCTTTAGAGTTTAGGTATTGACCTTTATAGCTAAGGAGTTGGCCTTTACAGTTTAGGTATTGACCTTTTTAGCTAAGGAATTGGCCTTTACAGTTTAGGTGTTGGCCTTTATAGCTAAGGACTTTGCCTTTACAGTTTAGGTATTGACCTTTATTGCTAAGGAATTGGCCTTTACAGTTTAGGTGTTGGCCTTTATAGCTAAGGACTTGGCCTTTAGAGTTTAGGTATTGACCTTTATAGCTAAGGAATTGGTCTTTACAGTTTAGGAATTGACCTTTATAGCTAAGGAATTGGTCTTTACAGTTTAGGTATTGGCCTTCACCGTTTAGGTATTGGCCTTTATAGCTAAGGAATTGGCCTTTACAGTTTAGGTAATGACCTTTATAGCGAAGGAATTGGCCTTTACAGTTTAGGTATTGACCTTTATAGCTAAGGAATAGGCCTTTACAGTTTAGGTATTGACCTTTATAGCTAAGGAATTGGCCGTTACCATTTAGGTATTGGCCTTTATAGCTAAGGAATTGGCCTTTACAGTTTAGGTATTGGCCTTTATAGCCTAGCCTAGCTTTTGTTGTGTAGACACAGATTCGTAAATGGCCAAAAATGTAGTCTCGAGCCAAATTCATTTTTTTTTTTTAAATGTGAAGCCCACATACATGTAGTCCACTTCATCATGTATATGCCAATTTTAGACCTGATTTTTTAAAAACTTTTGATACATGTAATATTACAGGGGTTATTCATTGTACAAAAATATCATGGCCACGGTACGCTACTGTACACTGCTACCTAGGAATTGGCCTTGACAGCCTAGGTATATTGGCCTTTACATTTAGGAATTGTAGTAGAATCACCATAAATATCTATGTTATTTGGAAGTAATGTAAAATTAAATAAATTTTCAAAAACTTCAGATGAAGTCAGCCAACAAACCAGTTTTGATATTTTCTCACCTCTTTGTGTTTTTCTTTGTTTGAAAACAGATTGAGTTCCTCGCCGTAGATTTCTTGCTGGTTGAGGACGTCCTGGTAGTCAATCTCCTTCATCAGCCCGGCATCCTCTATACCATTAGCCTTCAGGAATTCCATATAGGCCACCTGGAAGGCCTGTCCTATGGACTGGGCTATCAACTGGGCCTGTAAAGTACAATGATCAAGGTTATAGCCAGGTCAATTAAAAATCAGGGTTACAACAAGGTCACTAAAGCAGTCCAAGTTATATCAAGGTCACTGCAGTAGACAGGTAAGGTTACTGTAGTAGAGGCTTCTACTGACCAAGAAATGACAATCTTGTGTTTAATTTTAGTTTTTCTTACCAATGCCAAATGTAGCCAAGGCACTTTACAAAACCAACAACAAGAAAATATAGGCAGTTGTTTGGTTTTTCTTCCAAACACAACGCCCAAAGGGCCACCAATCCAAACTAAAGAGAACATTTATTTATAACACCATGTCTGGAGCATAAGTCTTAACTTATTGACCTTATGAACACTTGGAATCAAATACAATCACATTTTTCTTAAGAGCCTGCCGAAGGGAAAATTAAAACAAGGTGTGACATCTGACTAACTTTATAGAGAATTATACAGTGTACACAGCTTTGTAGGACTGGTGAAATGGTGGTCTATAAAGGGAAAGAATAACTTAGTAGGGCAGGTCTCTCAACCAGATTTGACTGTATTTGAAAGATCCAGAATGTCGAATCCAGTGCTCTAAAACAACCCACAATTTACTCACAGATCTATATATATCGGTAGTCAGTTCTACAGACTTGGAAGGAACTTAATTATATCCCATTACTGTAACAACTACAGTTGAGCTTTACCAGGCTGTAACTGTACATTTGAGATGATTAATTGCAGTAGAAGATTGAGTTATGTCAAGTGGGACCTGTCTTCAAACGACAATCTGTACAACTTTTCAAGGACTTAAACCCCATTTCATTTGCCTATGAAAGCGGTTTTGACATTCAGAGATTTCAGGTCGGGCAAAATTAAGTAAGAGTGACATTGTATAGCAAAGTTCACATCAGGCAGGTATTAAACTCCAGTAGTCAAATAAAATGCAGCAATCTGCACCTGATGTGGTCCCCAAGTGCTCAAATCCTGCTAATGGCACATCTTAACATTGACATGACATTAACAAGCTTTCAACTTAACCCTTTCAGCCAACTGGTTATTTTTTTAATTTTTTTTTGTGAACCCCGACTACCAAATCAGGGTTAAATTGGTATCAACTTGATAAGATTAACAACAATTCAATAAAGATATTTCCAGTGTTTGTTTAAAAGACTGAAATTCAAAACTACAAGTACGGTTAATTATGATCAATCACATGTATAAAATTACCACAGAAGACAAAATATACAGGGCCCTGATCACTAGAACCATCCAAAAAAATGCTTCTTTCGAACCTAAGACAAACATCTGATGAGACCTAGAGAATCTGAAACATGCCTCTATAAATTTATGGAACAAGTTTCAGGTAAAGTGTGTTATGCCTCAGAGATCATTCCAAAGAAAATTTCCACTTAAATGTTAATTTTTCCAACTTGGCAAATGTTTCTTTTTATATTAATGAAGCAACATAAAGAAGTTTTTCTGACCTAGAGTTACTTCCCTTGTCAAGGTATTCAGCTGTCATTTTGATGCTGTGTATTTATAAATCCCAGATAGCACCAGCTATCTTGGTCCTTATGTTTGATCCCACTGTAGATTTAGTTTTTTTCCCCGTTTTTGTTGATTTTTCAAATACACTAATTTTCATCAAATATGCTTCTTTAAAATGCATAGCAAAATGCGATTAATATGAAATACTTCCCACAATACAGACTTAAACAAAAATTTCATGACAATTGACAATGGTGACAAAATATCCTAACATGACGGTACTAGTTCGAAATTATTTTGATTGAATATATTACTTAGTCATCTTAACAAACAGATTTTGTGAAAAACTGGACCAGAAAACGTAACAGAAAGCACCACATTTCTCGCATTTGCTACATCATCACATCACAGATTATTCTTTTATTGACATGAAAAACAAACATGCTGTAATTCGCCATGTACTGCTACATCGGGCAAACTTCAAAAAAACACCCAACAGGTCTTCAACCTGCCACGTTCAACTAGCATGGACAAGCTCAGTCACCATTTCCCGACAACACAGATTGGTTGCCATCGGATCCGAGCCAAATTAATATGGACACCCTCCCTGATGAATTGTGCCTAGTCTGTTCTTATTGAATCTGTAGACAAATGGACGTCCCGACGAGACTGCCTCTCGGCAATCCTTTGTTCCACCACCTTTTGTACTCGGTACAGCATCAATATGTTACACCTTTCCAATCTATCCAGGTACTACCACCAGTGTTAATTAACCAACACATTTATTAAAAGTACCGATTTATAAGGTATGTATATAAGGCAATTGGATTTTTCTGCAATGGAAACCATGGATAAGATTGAAGAAAAAAATTGGCTATAAATCCCAACATATCAAAAATTCAGCAAAGTTTGTATCCGCTTTCAACCAGTGTCATGTATTGATTTTAGATTCATGTATCAATCGCTGATAAAGGGACCCAGAAATCCAACTTCTTCTCAGTGTATCAGAAGGACGTCATCTTTACTGGGGAATAGGGACATATTGTTTCTGTCTAATCAACCAACACCAACAGAGCTCACAACATATCGGTTCATATTTTCCTGAACTTTATCACATCGAGAAGATATTTCTGACCTAGTAAAATCTGAAATGCACTAGGAAAGTTCTGTACTGGAAGAGCTGGCACATTAATAATAAATCTGTCCTGCTTTATTTGAAGCTTCTACAAATTTGATACGTACACAGGTTCAAACACTTTACAATAAATCTGTCCTGCTTTATTTGAAGCTTCTACAGATTTGATACGTACACATGTTCAAACACTTTACAATAAATCTGTCCTACTTTATTTGAAGCTTCTACAAACTTGATACGTACACAGGTTCAAACACTTTACAATAAATCTGTCCTGCTTTATTTGAAGCTTCTACAAATTTGATACATACACAGGTTCATTTATTTGAAGCTTCTACAAACTTGATACGTACACAGGTTAATTTATTTGAAGCTTCTACAAACTTGATACGTACACAGGTTCAATTATTTGAAGCTTCTACAAACTTGATACGTACACAGGACCATTTATTTGAAGCTTCTACAAACTTGATACGTACACAGGTTCATTTATTTGAAGCTTCTACAAATTTGATACGTACACAGGTTCATTTATTTGAAGCTTCTACAAACTTGATACGTACACAGGTTCAAACACTTTACACTAAATCTGTCCTGTTTGAACCCTTTAGACTTCATACTGGAGTAATTTCAATAATCTATCTACCAGTTTTGAAGCCTTTAGGCTTCTCACAATATTGAACTTTACATTTAATTTACCTTGTCGGATTCACGGTAATCTGTCCTTCTTATGCACTTTTGACTTTACACAAAAGAGAACTTTACAAAAATCTTGTTTGAGGCTCTGCTTTATACACAGGAGAGAACTTAAGAATAAATCGGTCCTGATTGAGGCTATGCTAATTTGACACAGGAGAGAAATTTGCACTAAATCTTGTTTGAGGCTCTGCTGACTTTACACAAGACAGAACTTTACAATGATTATGTCTTGTTTGGGGCTCTCTTGATTTTACACAGAAGATAAGTTTACATTAAATCTTGTTTGAGGCTCGGCTGACTATTCACCAGAGAGAACTTTACAATAAATCTTGTTTGAAGCTCTGCTGACTATTCACCTGAGAGAACTTTACAATGAATCTTGTAAACCTGTCATAATTGAGACTCTGCTGACTATTCACCAGAGAGAACTTTACAATAAATCTTGTTTGAGGCTCTGCTGACTATTCACCAGAGAGAACTTTACAATAATTAATCTTGTTTGAGGCTCTGCTGACTATTCACCAGAGAGAACTTTACAATAAATCTTGTTTGAAGCTCTGCTGACTATTCACCCGAGAGAACTTTACAATGAATCTTGTAAACCTGTCATAATTGAGACTCTGGTGACTATTCACCAGAGAGAACTTTACAATAATTAATCTTGTTTGAGGCTCTGCTGACTATTCACCAGAGAAAACGTTACAATAAATCTTGTTTGAGGCTCTGCTGGCTATTCACCAGAGAGAACTTTACAATAAATATTGTTTGAAGCTCTGCTGACTATTCACCAGAGAGAACTTTACAATAATTAATCTCGTTTGAGGCTCTGCTGACTATTCACCAGAGAACTTTACAATAAATCTTGTTTGAGGCTCTGCTGACTATTCACCAGAGAGAACTTTACAATAAATCTTGTTTGAAGCTCTGCTGACTATTCACCCGAGAGAACTTTACAATGAATCTTGTAAACCTGTCATAATTGAGACTCTGTTGACTATTCACCAGAGAGAACTTTACAATAAATCTTGTTTGAGGCTCTGCTGACTATTCACCAGAGAGAACTTTACAATAAATCTCATTTGAGGCTCCTGCTGACTATTCACCAGAGAGAACTTTACAATAAATCTTGTTTGAAGCTCCGCTGACTATTCACCAGAGAGAACTTTACAGTAAATCTTGTTTGAAGCTCTGCTGACTATTCACCAGAGAGAACTTTATGATAAATCTTGTTTGAAGATCTGCTGACTATTCACCAGAGAGAACTTTACAATAAATCTGTCCTGTTTAAACTTTCACTTGACTGCCCTAATTTACAGATGCCTGGAGAGTTAACAGCAGATAGCCATAGAAAAAAGCTGTGAGCTTAACCATAAAAAGTAGATAACAAGATTAGCCTTTATAATTAACGTGATTATTTTCTCATTACAATCAATATCAACAGAGTTAAGGAAACGTTCCAGCGGAATGATTTAGCAATTTTACCGTTCACTGATTACCGCAGACTTTTCAAAATAAGGCTATTGATTTACCAATCATCAAAAGCAACTGAATACTTCTTGTTTTGAAACACCACTTCCTGTCAGTGCCATGGTGAAAGGCGATGTTGTATATGAAGAACGGTCCAGGTCCTGCGGATTCAAAGAGACTGGAGATGCTGACATACTCGAAACTGTATCTCATTAACATTTCAAAAG